TTGGTGACGACGAAGAATGTGAAGAAAGGAAAATTCAATTGTCTACTTATGGTATCAAGGTTGAGAGTGATGGTTCAGAATTGTTTGGTAACTCACAAACACATCAAGAAACAGAATCGTGTGTAGAAAACGAACGAGTTACGGAACAAGGTGTTTCTGCAGTTCACATTAAAGAAACACAAAGTTCAGATGGAGAAAGCAACAGTGTTGCTCATACTGGTAGTCAGCTTGCTTCTGAGCCATTGGGTAGTACTGAATTTGGTATGAGCGCGTCCAAACCGGTTGATTTAACAGAAGATAAAACTACTGATGAAGGAAACCAAGACACAATCAGTACGGGTACTCAGCTTGCTTCTAAAGTAGTGGACAGTATTGTTAATTCATCAGAGGTTGATATCAGAACATTCAAACCGGTTGACGTAACAGGAGGCTCTACAACTGGTGACAACCACGACACGATTAGTGCGGGAATAAAAATTGAGAAAAATGTGGAAGGTGTTCCAAGCACATCTTCTGATTCCCAGCCTGCAGATGACGGATCCAAAGAGACTGCCCTGTGGTATATTCATGTATTATTAGTCCGTGGACTGCCTCCACGGGAAGCTGGGGTAAGCTTGTCATTGACACCTTTGCCCAGCCTAACTGTTGCTGTTTTTTTTCAGTAGTGCAAAATACAGTTCGGGATCCCCATTGTTATTTCTGTTATACAAAGCACTCTTTTGTAGTTGGCTTTGGTTTTGCTGGGTCGAGTTAATTTAGCATGGATAAAGAAGGGTTAAACTGTATTCCTCTGCAGTTTCACATATTGTTACCACAGCACTCTCTCTTCATTATCAGCTAGCAACTGATCATTTTAGTAAGTACATGGGGCTAATGCAGATGTGTAACCTGATGATGTGTTACTTTGTTTTCATTTTGGAGAACAAGCTCAGTCTCAACCAAGATTTCCAAGTATCTTTGACTATTTATGAAATTATATGTAGTATTCTCCCATGAAGAGAAAATCTGTATTGCTTTGTGATGTCATTGAAGCTGTGAGTGTTTAAATGGCAGTTTTTAATATAAAATATTTTGACAATTTTCATTGTTTAGCATTAGTAGATGTGACCTCTACCTGAAATTTTGTTGCTTATAATGAACAACTTGTATTGACAGAATCTGAAGCAGCTGTTGATCATGACACTGGGGCACTTGGGCCACAGGATCAGACCTAGACAGAAGGGTGATAAAGTTTTGTATGTGCATTTCAAATCTGAAGATGAAATGAAAATTGCCCAAAGTCTTCTCCACAATCAGAATTTCTTGGGATACACCTTGAATGCAAAGGTGAGTGAATAGGCTGTAGTGAGCAGTTGTCATTCCCATGAAGAATGTTTGCACTTCTGCTTCATATTCAGGAGATACTGTGTTCGAATTCTGTCCAGTAATCAGCACTTCAGAATGAGAATGGTCATGGTTTGCCACAGTCATATGAAAATGTATTGCCCTGGTCAGAACTACTTCTCACATTTCTTATTCATATCCACGCACCCATTTAATGCTACATAATTTAAGCAGTTTGTGCACTTTGTCAACAGCCTCCGTAAAAGCCACATATAGCCTGGAGTTATTGAAATATGCTCTTGTTCAGCAAAATTGTAAGGCTTTAAGAACTTACAAAGCAGTGAAGTAACTAATTCTTAGCGTAATATGTTGCTACTTTGTTTTATAGGTGGTGAGTAATGAACAACAGAAACGGAAAGCTTTGATGATTGATGAAGATTATTATCCACTGGCGAAGAAGATTAAACCAGACCCTGAAGCACATGACATGAAGAAGAAACAGAAACAAGAAACCAGTATGTTGCAGTTCATCGATGGGCCATATGGAGCCCAGGTAATTGGGATGTTGTGAGTGCTTCATATTTACCCACTTCCTCAGTAATTTGGATCAATCATCTGTTTGTACCTTGGTCTTTGTTGCCTGTGTGACAGAGCTTACTTGCAGTTCAGCTGGCCATGTGTTATAGTAAGGTACTGCTATGCCATTAACCCCAGAGCCGTAGACTGGTTGCCAGGCGCATATTACAGACATTTAAATCTCATATTCTTGTAAAATGAAAGTTAATAAAAACAATACCATAGTGTATGTGTGTGTCAAACATTGGAGTTCAGAGCTTAGCAATTCTGTATTGTATTTGGGAGGTCCCAGGTTCATTGCTTGGCCCAGAGACTGGCTACCCTGGTATATTTTGTGGTTTTCTTTAGTCCTTCAGAAAAGTTACAGTATATAAGCCATGGTGGAAATTATTTTAAAATAACTTTAATTAAATGTTGAAACTGGCCACCTAATGTTTTGGGTATTTTCCAAGTTTTTTTTTTCATTAGACATTAAAAATAAATTTTGCGATATAGGAATTTCTCATTCTTTCTGAACATTCTTCCTGTCATTTGATATTTGCTTAATTCAACACTTTTGAGTACACAAAATATAGATTTGCTGTTCGATTTGTTAACCATTGTAACTTACCATGTACATAGTACTTGGTGTGGCAGAGAACATGTTTACAAGTTTCATATGTCTTTTGTTGTATCCAGACATATATTAACATGGCTATGATAAGATTTCATAAACTGACTGTATTAAAGAAATGTAAGGATCAACAGAGAACTTATTTTTGAGTAGCAAGTTTCATTATATTTTGGCTTATGCATATTTTTAATGACTCTATTCTGGGCATAAAGTAAACTACCACTGCTACTTAAAACTTTCCATACCATGTAGTGTATTAGAATATAAAATAAGCAAACAAACAAACTATTAACGAAGCGTTGGAGTTCACAGGTACGGATTTAGAAAACAAATCATGAAGTAGAGTATTTAGCAGCTACGGCCACCGGACCATTGGATCAATAGCTAAGTGTTGAGTTCAACATCTGGTGTAGTGTTGCTTGATATGCTTTTGTAAAATACTCCACTTCATGATTTGTTTTCTAATTAATTAATTTCCCTGTTGCCACTGATGATGACCTCTTGAGGTTGAAACATGTATGGCACTAGTGTCTTTTTTATGGTGTTAATAGTTTGTTTGTTTGGAAATTTTATATACCACTGCTACTGCTTTTGTTTTTTCCAGCTTCACAGAAAATCAGAGGATCTTTATATGAAGCTACAGAGAATAGCAAAACTTTTGTGTCGGCATTACCCTAAATATGATCGCATGATTAGCAAGAGAGAAATGAAGTACCAAGGATTAATATGCATCTTGGATAGATTCATTGGCTGCCCCCCTGAAGAACGTTTTGCAATCAGATGCAAATTTTCTGTAGGTTAGTATACACACTCTTGCACCATATAAACAGTCATTGGTTTTGAACATGACGTGTGTTCTGGGTTATAGTGCCTTATAGCCTGGTAGTGACCAACAGGATGTATAAGGATGAGAGAAACAGAGAGAGAAATAAAGGTCTGAGAAAGTGACCCTTATAAGGGTCCTTTGAGAGTGGATGAGGGGCTTCCATGACCAGCTCAGGCAAAGTCCATCCTCCCTGTTCATGTTTGGATGTAGCTTGAGCTTGACGGCATTCCCGATAACCAGGTCCATGTATCTGGATTTGGTGGACAGGATTGTGGTGTCATCTTGTAGTTAAAATGCGGTGTCCCAGGTTGATGCTTTGTTCGGCCATGGCAAATGTATCTGGCTGCTCCAGCTGGAAGTGGCGCTTGTGCTCCTTGACTCTAGCCTCGATAGAATAGCTGGTCTGCCCCATGTAGACTTTACCACACTTGCAGGGCATGCTCGAGGAACATAGGAAGCATCTGATACAGTATTTCAAGTCCTGTCTGGGCCACTAAGCCACTACGCTGTTCTTTTCAGGATACAATCTGGCCCAGGGCAGTCTTTATTTCCACTCTCCCTATCATGTCCACCCACCTCCCACATGTCTAGTGATCCACCTGTTGGACCCTGAGGGGCCTTTATAAGGTATCAAATTTGGAATGTAATTTTACAAAATCATGAGATACCAAGGAACATCGAATTTATTAAAATGTAAGGTTGTATTGTTTTTTTGTATTATTATTTGATTTTAATAACTGGAGTGCCTACAGCTGTGAGAAACATATAAGCTAGGAATGAAAATCAAGTTTTCACTGTGTTAGATGACATATATAAATCTTTCCTGTTCTCCAAAATATTAAACATTTTCCTGTGTACAACTATGTAGTTTTCATTGTTTATGAAAATTGAGTTCCACCATAACCGGAAGCTGGTGAGGATTATTAGATAAGATGATATTGGTAACTGTGTTATAGGAATTGATGATGAGACTGGACTGCTTGTAGTGGGCTTCCACACTGGCGGTGGTAAGGTGAATAAGGTCTCTTCAGTGAATCACAACTTTCCTCCCCATGTGGTACAGGCCGCACAGGTAGGAACCTGTTGGCAATTCCCGCTTATAGATGCAGTTTTTTTTTAAGTTATGCGACTATAGTACATGAATTGTATCATATTTTGACAGGTTTTTGAGGATGCAATTCAAGGAATGGAGAAGGTATCAGACAAAGATGGCATAGTCCAGTACAAGTTCTGGCATGAGCTTGTTATACGCACCAATCATGCAAGAGATCTGATGTTCATGGTGTATGTTCAGAGTCCACAAGAAACAGCAGAAGAAAGGATGAAGCACTTGCATGAAGAGTTAAAAGTGTTCTTTGAAAGTGAAGATGCAAAGAAGTGTCGAATAACCTCAATCTACACCAAAGTCACACACACGTAAGTTATTGCCTATTTTTGTTTGTCCAGCCCCACTGACATTGGAAGAAACAGATGTGAGGTTTATGGTCGAATTACATATATATTTTGAAAATTCAGGAAAAATTTGTTATTCAGTTTTATTAGTATACAGAGTGTAGTGAATAAGTTGCAATACTGAGATTAGTATTTTTATTCACTACAAAAGAATAAACAGATGAGAAGAAGACAATTGTAACATTCTCAGACTCACTGTTAAAATATTGGCTCTTGTTGCTCTATCTGCTGCAAGTTCTTATCACTTCAGTACATGCAGCTCATAAATTGTGCATTAGCCTCTTGCGTTATAAGATACCATTCACAAAGATCCATTTGTCTGTTCTTAATCTTCATTAAGGTTGTGATGCATAAGTCTTTGGTCTTTCACATGTGTAGAGTATACAGCATTCACTGAAGGCTTTATTACTAATTACAAGGCAAATTGAAGTTTTTCCTGTTGATTTTAGAGGGCTCTGAAACAAAAGTTATGTGGGTTTTGGCTTCTTGTTTCTTTTTTGAGTGAGCAACACTACCAGGTTCAAATCATTCATTGATGATGCGGATGATTTGCCTTGATTGTAACTGTAAAGTAAAGTAAAAAGTTTGTCCCACTATACGCCATGTAGGCGTTTGGGGTGAGTGGAGGTATAGCTCCTCTCTTCCTTGACCTCGGCACTAGATGGGGGTGAGTGGTCAGCATCACGCCCCGGTCGGCTTTACCCCCGGGAAAGGACCCCGGTACCCATTGTAGAGGAGGCTGGGTGGGCCCCAGAGCCGGTCTGGATGCAGAGGCTAGAGGAAAAATCCTCTGCCCCCGCCGGGGATCGAACCCCGGTCGTCCAGCCCATAGCTAGTCACTATACTGACTGAGCTATCCCGGCTCATTGATTGTAACTGTATATTCAGGAATTTATCAATAAAATTTGCAGTTACCTGCATAGAATACTTTGTTTGCTCCCAGTTTTGCTCAAGGGAAACATGATAATTCTCTAGTTTAATATTTATTATATAGAACAAATAACTACAATTTAATGAAATAACATGTCAATACAAGAAAACATTGTGGATGTAGAAAATATTGTAGCCAACCATGATATATGAAAAGAACCAATAAGTGAACAGTTTTGGTTAAAAACATGTGTATATAAAATAAACATTTTACTACTTGAAAGTGGACACAAATTAAAAGTGACTGAAAACGATTATTTAGGAAAATGTGTTGATGTAAGAGAAGTGAAATAATTTAACAGTTTAGGACATTATTCACACGGATTAACATATTTCTGTGAAGTGGAGAAGAAATAAGTGGAATGTGCAGAACATGGCTTGAATTGAGTTCTAAAAGTAGGAATAGTAGTCATTTAGAGAAGGCTGTCTTCTAGGTTGCTACGCCGTGTAGTCTGGTATAAGTTTACCGACGTTTCAGAGGTCCTTGTTGCTTACATCATCAGGGCGAAGAGTAGTCATCAGTAGTCATTTAGGTAAATGGTTAAGTACTTCTGTTTGGAAGACTGCTAACCAGGAGGAATCTTCTGTTCTGTAAAAATCGAGATTGTCTTGATAATAACAAGGATGAGGATATTGGTTATGGTATGATCTGTAGTATCATCAGATTCAAGAAAATAAATATAGTTACAAAAGTTATTATAAAACATGAGTAAATTATGCAGTATATTTCTTGCAAGTAAAGAAATAGATGTCTTGAATTTCCACAGTCCTGCTTACATCGCCCAACAGTTGACACTGGCAGTGGGGTCACCCTACCTTGAAGAAACAGTTCTGGATCTGAAATTCCAACTTTTGCCGTCAATGCACTTCTGGAATAACATTCATGCAGCAAAGATGGTCTGCAAAGGCATTGGTGATTTGCTGGCCCTTTCAAAGAAAATTACAGTGTTGGAAGTGGGCTGTGGTTTTGGCTTGATTGGACTGTATTTGTCAAAGGTACTGTAAGTCAAGCTACTTGCTGCCATTTGTAAGCCGATTCTTTAAGAAATATTATTAACATTTAAAATGTGGAGTAATACTTTCTGGCACCTTCTTGTATATCTTTGCAGTTTTTATACTTCTTCGAGAACAAACCACACAAAACATTTATATCATGTGTATTGTGTGCAATCACTGTGTTTTATTCCATTTTATACACCTTGGCAAATGTTGCATTTTTCTTAAACTTTACTATACATTTTCTGCATGTTGCACTTAATGGTCTTTGTGTTGCTAAAACCAAAATATTTTCATGACTTCCATGTTGGAATCAGTGAAGTGAAGTATTTAAACATCAGAGATAACTATCTTGTGGAGTATTGTGCCGTGTAGTCTTGTAGAAATTGACAGACAGTACTTACTGCCTCCAGGGCTATCTCCCTGATGATTGACACAGTAATACTTATCAAACATTGGTCAGTTTCTGTGAGAGTACATGGCAAAATTTCAAGAAGACAACTGTCTTCATGTTTGCTGCTATGAGAACCTGAAATATCACTGTCTAAGTTTCAAGATAATCACTCGTTTTAGTGTCATTAGGGACTCTCTCTCTCTCACACACACACACACTGAAATGTTTGAGTTGGTATTGATGTAAAGAAATGCCCTCTTGCAGATGGCTGGAGAAGTCCTGAGTATGGATGCAGACCACTTTGTTGCAGAGGCTAGGAAACATGCAGAACTTAATGGAGTCACAGGCTGCCAATATTTTGGTGGCAAACCAGAGGAGGTTCTCCCTACAGTTGCTACAAAGATAACTTGCAACAAGGCCTGTGCTATCGTGATCAGCAGTTCTAATCACTCCTCTACTTGTGAGTTTCTTGTGTTTTCAGTTGTAGCTGTATTACATAATCCTCATTGTGGATTCTGACCTTAATTTGTTGGGCTGCATGTGATTTGCAGCATATGATTTTTTCATGCATAGTCTCCAGTGACAAATAAGAAAATAAGATAGATTGTGGGCTGGAATACTGGCATATTCTTTCTATATTATCAGAGGCACATTATAATTTTTGTTTTTAGTGGCAGTATACTTAAGACAGTTGTATGGACAGCCTTATATTTTATCCTGTGGGGAAAATGATAGCTTCTTCCCTATGCATCTATGAATATTCCTGCACATTTAATTTTTATTTGATATTGTTCTTTTAATTGGAATCATAGCTTAAAAGTTAAGGGCACTTTATGTGAAGTATGAAAGTGCTATTTTCTTGAAAACAGCTGTAAGAATTGGGCTAAATATTTGTCATTTGCACAGAGCACAAGCCACATTAACTTTTCACAACACAAATGAGAAGGTTTGTGCAATGTTTCAGGTGCCAAGGCAATGAAGGAACTGAGAAGAATTCCACAAGTTAGACGAGTGGTGTTGGTAACAGAGATGTTTTATTCACGCTTTAGTCCCATAATGACATTGAGTAAACCTACCACTGCAAATGATATGGGTTATCCCTTCTTTCCACTGAGGGCAATTCCAGTGGACACAAAGCCTAATGGGAAAGGTTACATGCTGCTAATCCTGATGGAACGCATTGGACTCTTCAGCCTCCTCAAGACACCAGGCCCTCCACATGAGAAGTCAGGGAAGACAAAGGAGTTCTGGGGTTCAGGAAGAGCAGCATCAAGAATGTGGAGACCATATGAAGTGGAGGCAGAGTATACCGAGCTCTTATTGAGAGGCACTGGATACACATGATGGGTCATTTACTTTGAATTTTTTCCAACACAGGTGACAGGTGGGAAAAGCAAAGTTGATACTGGTAGGGGCAGAGGATTGTGTTCAAGGATACTCCAGCCCAGTCAAGTTCCTCTGGACAACACCAGCTGGCAGTGCATAGTGCTTAATGGTGGCGTGTTGAGTGTTCTGAGGAAGGGAGAGAGCTGTGACCTCAGAATTAATGTTTATTTTGGAGAAACAAAGTAATGTGACAGATGACATTGATAAGAAAATTGTAATTTCTTGATACCTAATGTTTGACTTATGACTATAGCAGAGCTCCAAAGATTTGTTTTATTGCCATAAATTTGGCCATATGCCATTCATCCACTGTCCTTTTCCTCACTGTTATCACATGTACTGATTAGGCAGCTTTTATGTTGCAATTTAGTCTTGTACTTCCATGTGTGATGCAGAGAACTTTCCTGTTTTAGGCTTGTGTAATTGAGACAGCTAAAGCCACAAACTGAGAAATGTTAAAAAGCCATACATGGTACTTTTTCTTTGTAACCAATCAGAAGGTGGAAAAGGCTATTACAGAAAGGATAGCTTCTGAGGCTCCAAAATTGTCATGCCATTTTGCAGGTGGGTGAACCTCATGGGATTTTTTATATTATTAGTTTTGTTGTAAGTAAAATTAGAGTTAGTATATTCCAGTTCAGAGTAATCTAGATTTTCTGGATACATACTTTTTATTTGCAGACCTCGCAAATCCTAAACTTTGTCAACCTTGCATCTTATCGTCAATCCAGCTTCGCAGGCCATTGTAGAATACTGCTAAACCCCTAACCTGAGAATATGGTAGGAATGATAAGATCCAGAAGTGAACTGTATGTGCCCAGAACGTAGGCGGCTCGTAATGTAACGAAACATGATTATTTGTTTCTCTGTTTTCAGTTATTAGAGATCTCGTAGCCCAAATAATAGTAGTATTCATAGATTGGTTTTGATCATTGATTGACTACCGCGAAGACATATACGTGCACTTTTATGAGGTCTGATTATTTATTTGATAGCCACATCTTTATTCTGTGACCAGAAGCGGGTTATCTGTGCCAATTAGTTACTGATCGTGTTGTGCGTTCAGTGTCCTTAGTTTGTTTTAGGCGTTGAGAGTGAATATTTGTTATAATTGTTAGTTTTGTAGTGAAGAACAATTTTAATGGCTTCAGAAGATTATATACCTTTGAGCGGAGAAGGTGAACAATATGAAGTGATTGATGAAGTAACAAACACGGAGTTTAAGGGCATGGACGATGCTACTAAAAAGGGTGAAATAATCCTGCAAGGTTCAGAAGTATATGGTACCTCAGAAACACACAGAGAAATACGGTCATCGTTAGAAAAAGAAGGATTATCAGCGCATGACATTTATGAAGAAAGCAGTAAACAGGCACAAAGTATGAGTGAAGAAGCAAGTACTGTTCACACTAAAGACGCTGATATAACCAAGGCACCCCCACCAGAACAAGTGGTTGGTGTTGAGAATTCATCAGAAGTGAATAGAAGCGTATCCAAGTTGTCAGATAAGTTGAAAATTACAGGTTCTGTAAATGCAGAAAAAATGGATACTGTATATATTAAATTTGTACAAAGTGTTACTCAGACTGTACCAGAAGAAAGTAAGATGTTAGATGAGAAAACCATCAATATTGAGGCAAACCAAAATAATGAATCTGAGAATAAAATGGAAGTTATTAAACCCAAGTCATCCAAAGACATTTTACTAGCACCCTGTGCAGATGTCCAACACAAAAAGGCTATTGTTTCAAATTTGAATGTTTTATTAGTAGGTGGATTGTATCCAGGACAGTCTGGGGTAAGTGAAATAATCAGAAAAACTTGTGAAAACTACATGAGCTCTCCCACTACAATGGTGGCTCTATCACTTGTCAACTCACCAAGTGTTAGTGCTTCCCTGTCATTTCCTTTGAATACACCTGTTTATGATAACCATTTAGAAGAAAACAAAACTGTTACACAACCAAAATTCATCAATTCCATTGTAAGACTATTTGAGAAGTGTGCCAACATAATACATAAGAAACCAGAGTGGCTTACGGAAGTCTCAAGTGTTCTGGAACTTCATGGAATGGTCTGGGTGCTTATGTTGGGTTAGCTGATATTAGTTTATTGCAGTTTAATATAATTTGGCATATTTTACACAATTTATTTTTTGTTTGAGTTACTTGTATAAAATCTGTACTCACATACTCTGATAGAAATAACAATTATTTTAAGTAAATTGAAGTCAACTACTTTGTGCCATTCGATAAACATTAATATGTGTTTAATTTTTTCCACAGATGCATTTTGTCTTTTCCTTTTGTCAGTGCATCTGTCAAGTACTGCTCATGGTTGGCCATTGAATATGCAGTTATGCATTAGGCTATTCAGTTTACACAAATCTTTAACATCACTCAGCTTGCTTCATTGTTCTTATCTTCTACAGAAAATTTTTTGTGAAAATGAGGCATTGGCTGGAGTATTGTTTGCATTTGGGAATGTGGTGCGAGAAGATGGACACCTGTGTAGTGTTCTCAGATTTCATGAACTTCTCTTATTTACCTATAGAAATTTTATTTTCAGTACTTATTTATAATAAACTTAACATTTTTAGTGTGTGTTCTTGTTTGACTTTCATTGGCAGGACCTGAAACAGTTGTTGAATACAACACTGGGAGCCCGCTCCCACGTTATTGAACCACGACAGAAAGGTGATGCAGTTCTGCGTGTACGTTTCAAATCCAAGGATGAAATGGAAATTGCCAAAACTCTTTTGCACAATCAGCTTTTCTTGGGCTCTAAACTGTCAGCAGTGGTAAGTAGAACATTTTTACTAACAAAAAACCATGTCCTCTCTCTCTTGAACTTCATGTGTGCTTATTTACATGTCTGCACATATTCTGGGCACCTGGTCTCACCTAAAATTTTCTTGATAGCACCTAGAGTTTCTTGTGTATGATATATTTGTATTTTTATGTAGTAATTTTAAATCCATGTCTTGTAGTTCCATTTCTTTCGTGTATGTGGTAGCTTCAACATTAGTGAATAAATTCGTATGAATGCTTTCAGGGCTAACACAAGGGTATTTAGTTCCCAAGCTAAACCTTCAGTCTTGCTTTTCTCCTTCCCCCAGTTAAATTTGTGCATTAATATGAATAAAAAATCTTTATCTGTAATTTAAGATTTAGTTTTCATGATTTTTCAACCTTGGTCTAACTTTCATGTCTAAATACTGATTCTGAGGCTGTTAAATGTAGTATAGTTATTTCTCATATTACACATGTTTTCATGATGCAAATTGATTATAAAGTGATTGATTTATAAGAGAAAGGTATTTCCATAATGAGGGTGCATGTTGGGAATTACACGATGAGAATAAAGCAAATAAAATTCAGCGAAGTAAACCACATATGGAGGTATGGAAAGTTATTATGCAAAAGTAATGCATTAAAATTAAAATATGATAACTAGTATAGAAAAATTACATTCTTGATGCTGTATTCAAACTGTTCCACTAACTCCTTAATTCCAATTGAACCAGTGGTGTCTGTAATGTGATTTTTCCATGACATGATGTTTTCCAGGAATGCAAGTATCACTGTATTCTCAATGAGTGGTATGAATTCAAGATTCTTGGCTAAAGAATGAAGTTAAGTAGTCTTGTGAATGAAGTGTTAACTGACAGTGATGTGATTTTTTGTGTTAGGAAAATTAGTATTTTTTTATTACTTGCCTGTTTCTGCAGCACCTTGTGATGGAGGCCTTAAGAACAGATTTAGTTGAAAATAAATTTTTGTTAACATTGGGAAAAAGCAGTTTAAATTACCTGATGTTAATTAATATTAATGGACCATCACTGAAAACAATTAACCCTTTACAGGTTATTTACCTTTGGCATTTCATTGGTAAAACAATGGGATGTACTTGGCCTCAAAATTTCCTGATAAATAGTACTGGACTTGCTTCAACCCAGAAGACAGCCATTTTCGTACTCATTGCCATGAAAACTTCAAATCCTATTTGGAGGAGAATGTTCCTCTGAAACATTAGTAATCTTTGTGCAAGTCCACATGGAAACTACAGTGAAAGGATGTATACCAGACATGAATGCGTAACTTTATTACATGGTGACATAATGTGGGGAGTGCCAACTGTCAATATTGTGATTGTGTTAATCTGTATCATCCTGAAATATGTGATTTAAACATCTTGCTCCTTGGCAGATTTTTTCTGTGGGTTGAATGGTTGTGGTATGCCACTGTGACACATAGCGAGATGGGCTACACATAAACTGTGTTGCATGGCCGATAATAGTCCATTGTTTTGTTTCTTAGGTGCAGAATAATCAGAAAGAAAAACGCAAAGCTGAGGAGGGAGATGAGACTAACAAACCACCTGCCAAGAAATTGAAACAGGAACCATTTGCACAGAAATCCTCAAAAGTGACATACAAAGCTCAGGTAAGAGCAAATGATACTTTTATGATCTATGCTGTGAATTAGTGGTAAGCTACTGAAGTTAGATTATGAAGTTAATTATGACATTTCACCTCGTGGGTTGTTCTGATGTTATGTATATAACGACCCAAACACAAATCCAGATCATGTGAGGGTCTCAGAACTTGCTATTTGGTAAATGATTGCATTGGTTTTTTCATTTCTCCTGCATACAGTTCATGAATTCAGAAGTGATATTTACAGTGCACAGTTCAGTAGCATGCTCTGTATGACCTTATGCCTTCTTGTGGAGAAGTATTAACTCAGTATGAAGTCAGATGGAACAAAATAAAGGAATAACTTATTTTCTTTGTAGATTGCTGAGAAGACTGCAGATGTTCATGCAAAGCTGCATCTACTAGCTAATATTTTAGGTGGAAATTATCCAAAGTATAATGGCCTGATTACTCAGAGACAGCTGAAATATGGTGGTTTAATTTGTCCTTTGAACAGATTCTCTGCTTGTTCTCCGAATAAGCGTTTTGAAAACTGGTGTAAATTTTCAGTTGGTAAGTAAGTGTACATATTGTTGCATTGTTTAGTTTATGCTCTCAGGATTAGCAGCATCCTGTGATACAGATTCAGTTTGTATGTTCGCCATTTGCTCTGAAAGGCCAAATAGCAACAACAGCACTCATGTTGAATATGACTACGTGTTCCAAAACAAAATATCTTTTGGGTTGAGTTGTTGCATGAAATAGTCTGGTAGAAGTTTACTGACATTTCACAGGTCCTTGCTGCCTCCATTGTCATGGTGATGTGTAATATGTTAGCATTTTTATACTTGAGGCCACTGGCAGGCCTCATTACATCGTACACTACTACTAGATGTCCAATAAAGAATATAGAAATTAAATTTTATACAGGAGCAAATAGTAGTAGATGCTGATGTGCTTCTGTGTTTAGATACACTAATAGTGGTAATACTTTGTTTCAGGCACAGAAGAAGCGACTGGTCTGTTTGCAGTAGGTTTACGTGCTGACAGTGGCTATGTGAATAAGATCTCATCAGTGAAACACAACTTTCCTCCCCATGTGGTAAAGGTAGCAAAGGTAGGATGAATTCCTCAAGTAAGTGGCTGTTACTCTGAACTTGCTCAACATTTAATGTCTTATGCAGTACAGAGATAGGCCTTTTTATTCTTCTCTTTGAAGATGAGCCATGAGCCTGTTTTGGTTTACAAAGTCTGCCTGTATGGATAGTAACAGTGTTTTAAGACACTTTCAGAACTATGCTGAATACCTGTTTCAGACTGAGCTGAAGAGACAGCATTGCTAAACATGGAAGTGTTTGCAACCATATTAGTGTGCAACAAATATACCCATATGAGAGTAAATATGATGTTTGACCTTTTGTTGTCAAATGCTTACCTAACATTCTTATTTCTGGTAACATTAATTTACACTCTCTCTTCTATGGTGCTTAGGCCTGTTTTCGGGCCATGGCCTCCCACATTAATTTACACTGTGTGAATAATTTACTGTTGAGCAGCAAGCTGCAAAGGGAAGGGCTTTCATAATGGAGTTGGCATTCCACATAATGTCAGAGACAGGTAAAGTAGTACAATAAACCCTCTGTTATCTGTATGCAAATTATCCTTTCATATTTTCATTTCTTGAAATACCAATTGTTTAATGTGATAATTTTATTATTTAATTTGTTTGTATGAAATAAAACTAAAAATTAAGCAATTTGGCCACTAATTTTGGTAATATACCCAGAATAGAAGTGCTGTCATCAGAGACTTGTGTTTCACAATAAAACTCAACATCTATTACTTGGAATAAAACAGCATAATTATGCTAAAATGTAGTCAAATGTCTTTGTTTGAAATGGTGAATACAGCCTCAGAAGAAGAAAAGAGTTTGCTTTAAATTATGAGGCTGTATGGTATTTGAACATTAAGACAGAATTAGTGGAGTCTGCATCACCAAAGCCAGTATCAATACGGTCTTCAATAAATCATCTCTTGGATGATGAAAATTCTTACATCATATGGTTATAATGTATGCTGTTTTTTCAAACAGTCTGTCCAATTTCAAGACATTGTGACTAGTGTCATGGCCAGATTAAGTACAGTAGGGCACCACATATATGGCAGGTTAGGGACCAGACCCCCGCTGAAAAGCGAAAAGTGGATCTTGCCTTTTTTCAATTGCAAATGCATATCAAAGCCTAATAAGATGTTTACACTATCATATAGTAAGTGCACAATAGCGCTAGGCCTAAGAAAAGATATGAAAGTAAAAAAGAAGCTGTAAACAGACTGAATCAGCGACGAGAAAATGGCACTGGACGCACTTCTCTGACTCAGCTATTGAGCACATGGGGCATATGCACGCAATTGAAAAGCGCCGTATTAGCGGATTGCCGAAAAGCGAGGCCCTGCTGTATTGTTAACCCTATGTTTAAGCCTGAAGTCTGAGCTGACAAGAACCGTGTTGCCCTTCTTACCTAGAGGCCACCTCTTCCATCTGTGACACCTGAGGAGCACAGTGTCTTGTGACAAGGGACCTGCTTAAGTCACTGTTTAAAATTGTGTGTGATTCAGATTTGGATGAATTGTTTGAAAGTGAAAAGTGACAGTGAGTGGAGTATTGAAGTGATAACAGAGTGAAGTGGTCAGCCTCAATTTGTCTTTTGTCTCTTCACTTCTATGATTAGGTCTTTGTGACCAGTGAGACAGGAATACAGGAATAATTATTGAGTATGTAAGCAAAATTGCTTCCCACAGTTATACTTACTTGCCGGAAGAATTTTTTGTTTCCTCTGACAAACATTCCAAATAAGGGGGAGTATTTGTAATGGACAAATGGGATTTTATAAATATGGATAAATTTGACGGCATGGTGCTTTGCATATATTCATGAAAAGTATTTTTATATGTCTTGTCACATGCAGTGTTCTGGAAGTATAGAGCTGGAAGTGAAGATACCTTTTATGGGACCAGTTTTTGAATTTGTAATTTTTCCTGTTGCTTTGTATCTCTTTTTAAATCCAGTTCTCCTTAACCCTTAGTTCATTGCTTAGCTGTAGGCCATGTTTTTTGTGCTTATAAAACAACAAGCAAAATTATGGTTATTTTATTTTGAAGTATGAAAGGATTGACCTGTAATTTTGAGTTATGTTTCTGTTATAGGATTGCCCGAGAAGATTTTATTTACGTTTCTGTTCTTTGTTAGCTAAAACTTCCTTAGTATCTCAGGTATAGATTTGTTGGATACCACAGAAGAATTGAATTTGCATGGTAATTGTTTGTTTTCCAGATATTGGGCAAATCAATGAGTAGTATTTGCAAGTTTCTTGCAACTTATAAAACATGAATAGCCTTCAGCACAATGACTGCCTCCATTATGTTTTGACAGGTTTTTGAGAAGATGGTTCGTGTATCTGAGAAGGCTTCAGAAGATTCTGTGGGCAGATGCCAGCATCAGTTTTGGCATGAACTTGTCATACGTACCAATGAGGCATGTGAGCTGATGCTCATTGTGTATGTGCATGGTTCTGAAGAATTGGCTCTTGGCAGGATGGAACGTTTGAACAAAGAGTTGAAAGAATTCTTTGAAAATGGAGAAAGAAATAATTATGGTATCACCTCAATCTACACCAAAGTGACGTACACGTATGTTTACCTCAAACAATACCAGTTCTCTGGATTTATCCAAACTGCATGAAAGTTGATGTTATTGTCATCTGAAAGAATTATTTTTACTGTTTCTTAGTTTATTTAATGATGCTGTCTCACCTGCAAACTTATACAGTTGCTGATGGATAGCTAGTAGTGAATGATGAATTCGAAAGAATGTGGGAGGAAGCAGTTGTGACCTGTTTGAAGGTACTGTCCCAGCATTTATGTGGAAAGGCTGAAGAAAACCAAGAATAAATTTGGGATTGCCAGTCTCTGGGCAGTTAATCAAATATGGGACGTCTAGAATACCAGAGAGGAGTGCTAATGTTAACCACTTGTCTGTGAAGATCACCGCCTTTGCTACTGTCTTCATGATTTTGTATAAGGGAAGGTGCCACATTGTTGATTGGCTGTCCTGTCAACAGTGCTGGGGCAGTGTCTTTGGAACAGCCACTGCCGCTTTCCATATTTATGTTTTGTGATACCATACATAATGTCTGCAGCAAAAATGCATGGCCAGTCACATGATTGTCTACTGCATTTGGCTATATCCAGAGGACTTCTGCTTCTGTGTTGTGATGCAAACTATTGCTGTCCATCACTCCACTGGAAGTATCATAGACATTATGAAATGCAGTGAAGTTCTTCTCCATTATAATGTCAGACAGACAGCTGTTGTATTTTCAGTTCTCTGTTTTAGACTGTCATAGACTGTCACAGGAATGTGTTTCAGATCATTGTCTCAGAAGAAGACACATAAGGCCAGTGTATTATCTTGCGTAACACAATTGTTACTTGTCAAGGTACAAAACATCATTAAGATGTGCATGTGTACAATTAGCAGTGCACATGTTATGTGTATGATGACTGTTTGGAGTATTCAGTTATACATATAATTAAAATTGTTTATAAAATGGTTTCAAACACAAACCTTGTCTGTTGATGATCCACATCTTGTAACCAGTAGGTGCATTCAAGTTACTTTTTAAGTGATTTTGTTGCACTGTTGGTGAAACAATTAATTTAAAAATATCATTGCAAGTTTTGTATAGTAGTGATGGAAGAATTCATGTTTGGAATACACTGAGCGCCTGCCGTTAGATGTGCAGCCCCGAAGCTTTTAAGTAGATGTTATGTGTGGGAGTTACCACTCCCTTACCACATAGCCCTAAACTTGGACAGCCAAGGACTAGCTTCAGTGACTGTCTGCTTTGTCTGTTAGCTCATTTGGAGTGTCTGAACAGAATATCAAGAACATTTTGATTTGCTGCTCACAATGGAGAAGAGGCATTCGTAGACAGCAGATTATGTTCTTAGCTTATTCTTAAAAACAAGAATTAGCTGAAGATGAATTCACAATGAATCCATACAAAGTTGTGGATTTGAATCAAAGCAATTTGAATGTTGACTTCAGAGTTAGAAGTTTGTGTAATCAGTGGAGCAATCTTGCAGTAGCAAATAAAGTAGAATATATTTGTATCAGTATTAAACTCATTCTACATGAAGATTACTCATGTCTTATGGAAGACGAGACAGAGCTTTGAGTGGATGCCAGTTTATTGAACTTGTTACCAATTGGGGTTAAGTTCACAGTGTGTATTATCTCCAAAAAAGGCTCCATGTAAGAGAGGGTACCTACTCTGTACAAAGGACCTGACCTGCCCTACCTAGTAATTAAAACTTGGTGGCGATTGAGACGATATTCTGATTTAAATACACTGTAGTGCTAGTAATAGCAGTGTGGACTTGAAATGTGGCAACACCATGTACAGTTCAAGGTTTTTTTCTCAGTTGGAATAATTAAACACCAGAAATACAGTAAACTATAATGAAAGTTAAACCACTTCATTGTGACAAATTATATTAGTAATGAAAGCTGCAAGTGAAAGTGGATGGATGTAACCATGCAAGTAAAAGTCACTTGTTCTCCATTGAATCACAGAATAGCTTTTTCCAGTGGATTCCTTTCTACATACCTAAAGAAATAGACAAAGAACCAATGATACTGTGTGCCAGCAGGTCCTGAGAAAATACAGTTTCATTGGCTAGTGATGCTTGAACACAAACATTGGTCTGGATGATAATCTGACTCTCACCAGGGAGACAAAGCAAGGACATTTCATGTTACCAGTTGTATCCAGATACACTTTCTTAAAACTTGTGACACATAACCTAAATGTAGTGTTCAAGAAGCTTGCCATGGAGGCAAAAGGGAGTATGGGTAACATTCCACCCATTCTTAACATCAGGATTGAATTGTAGTGAGAGATTGGCCGTGTGCTGTTGTTTTTTACTACATGGGCGTCCCTATCATCAAATGGATATGATATGGGCGGTTGCCACAGCTCTTCTGGTCGTGGAAATAAACAGAAAAATTCCTGCTTCTGCCAGGAATCACAGTCTGTGGCCAGTTGTTTTGCCAACTGACTTAACCTGGCTGTCTGTAAATTTGGTATGGCTAACCCTTCAGTTTAGAAGGATGACTATATACTTGCATCCACCATACAAATAATCTATTTAACATTTGGATAACTTTTTAAAAGGTTTCATCACACTTTATTTGCTTTGAAAGGGGATTGAATGCTCTTTCTTTTGATGAAAAAATTATGCTCATACATTTTGTTAGTGTGCACTGTACCTTATCTACATACTTTTGTGTTAGTGTGTTCTAGCTCATATTTGACAACATTAAATACCCAGCAGAGAATGATTCCACATGAAGTTCTGGGCAGGGTTTCAGTGCTTCCATGTTGAAGGGTTAAACATAAGCAGAGACACTAATACAAATTAGTTTTCAGCACCCAAATATAACAAGTCCCATTATTACATTTTGCTGTTCTTGAGGTAGGGGTTGTGTAAAGCAGTAGTGCAAAGGATACAGTGATAACCAAATTTAAAATGTTAATAAGTTCTGACTCTTTAGTGCCTTCAGGCATGGTAATAGTTATGAATGAGACTGCAGACATTCACCTACTGAAGAAAAGGAAGTTGTGTATGTGTGTGTCTGTGCTCAGTATGGGGGTGATGGCCAATTAAATATCACATCCAGCTCTTATCATTTGTGACATGTATGTGGTGTGTTAAGGATTGAGGTTTTCACCATTTCTAGAACTTGAATTGTATTTACAAGGTACCTGGTTAAAATTTGAGCCTGAGCATTGGGTGTTGAATGAGACAAGGAATTCAGGTGCTGCTGCTGTATACAGTGGCATCAGCTTAGTATTCAGTGTCCTGTGGTGTCTTGGAAATGTACTTTCTTTGTTGGTTTCCAGCCATCTTAGTAAATTTACACTTAAAATCATTACTGAGAATATATTTTACTTTTTTGTGGTGAATTATAATAATTACATTTGAACAGATCGTGTCTGCAGAAATTACTACTTATATTGTGTTTTTATTGTCATTTATTTTGTACAGTTTTCATTATATTTCTGCAGTACTGCTCGTATCCCGCCACAGTTAAAGTTGGTGGTGGGGTCTCCATACTTTGAAGAAACAGTTATGGACCTAAAGTTCCAACTGCAGCCAACAGTGCACTTCTGGAGTAATATCGATGCAGCCAGAATGGTGTGCACGGGAGTTAAACAACTGCTGACCCCTGCAAAAAACAATGCGCTTTTGGAAGTGAGCTTTAGTGGTCTTGGACTGGTTGGATTGTATTTATCAAGGGTAAGAATGGGAGTGACAGATATTTCTGCCTTAACTGCTGCTGTGTCCATAGGGATAATGATGGGTACCATACTGCTGTTACATTAACATGACACCTCATCACTGTCTAGTGCTGAGGCTAAAAATACATGGAACTTTATCTACCACCCCTGTCATCCTCTCCCCCCTTATCTGTATCTACTCTTTTCGTGCTTCTTTCTATATCCACCATGACATGGCCTGTAAATCTTGTACTGGATCTTCATAATAGTTGTTTGTTCACATTTTTATTTGTATACTGTTAGAGGAATATTATTTCCATCCATGTATCACACATATCAGTACCACAGTGTCCATAATTTGATCAACTTTTTTCCTTTATGTCTCACCAAAAATCCTTTGTCCCTTGTTTGGAAATGCATCTCTGCTGCTTTTAAAAATTCCTCGTTATTTATTATGACATAAATGCAAGAAGTGGCTGTTGGTTACAGGATGTTGGAGAAGTTCTGAGTGTGGATGCACAACGGACTGCGGAAGAGGCACGGAAGACTGCCACACTTAACAATATCACAAACTGCAAGTATTTTGATGGCAGTCCTGAGGTGGTGCTCCATAAAGTTGCTGAGAACATTAAATATAACAAGGCCTGTGCTGTCATGATATGCAGTGGAAACAACATTTCTGCCTGTGAGTGTTTGCACATGTTGGACATAAAGGAAGTTCTTTTCCCTTTGCCAGGTTACAGTGCTCACTGTAAGTTAAATGCATAGCAAATGTACCACCGTGTTTTGGAAGTAGCCTTTCTATTCTTATTATCAGCCTCAGGTGGTACATAATGAACTTGAAGGGCTTTGTAATAATTTGTGAGCATAAAATAATATTATTGTAGGCTTTTTCACACCTTAAGTCAAGAAATGTCTATTTAAATCTCATATTTTCTGGGTATTCTTTCCCATCAGAGAAACTTCGTGATTTTTATGTTTCCTATGTTGCTAAGGTTTGGTCATTTCAAAGCTGTGATGGAGTGAACAGGTAGGTTTGCTCTTACATCAGGGACTGGAATGCTGTATAGAAGCATCTCCAACAATCCTCACATTGAGATGGGAAAATTAACACCGTTCTGTGCCATTTGTAGCATACCAGACTGACAGTTTTTGTTATTGGATACAATGCAAGAGGGGGGAGAGTTGTGTGTTGTAAGAAGGGTTCTGATGGTGGCAGATCATGCATCTCATTCTTGGAAGGATAATGGTAGTATTTGCATCTCATTTCTGATTCACTGGCAGCAGTAACATTTATTAAATATAGTGACCTCACATGGAACTGACAGTGGAATAACTTTAAACAGTGAAATGGGAAAACATTTCATGTATGTAGAATGTGTGAGTACAACATGGTGACTAACTGATGAATAAGAGAAGCAACATTTTTTAAAATTATCAGATTCTTAAAGGTAAAGAAGTTAAGAAATGTTTGTATGTAGATTTCATCTGGTATCATCTCAGTTTCCTGCACTGCAATACAGTCCATTTGTTTCAGGTGTCAAGGCAATGGAAGAGCTGAGGAAGATAGAGAAAGTGCGGCGACTGGTGCTAGTGACGGAGGTGTTTAAGTCACGCTTTAACTTTATATTGACGTTGTGTAACCCTACCAGACGGAAAGGCAGGGGTAACCCATTCTTCCCTATGAGAGCAATTCCTGTGGACACAGTGCCTAAAGGAAAGGGCTATGTTCTGTTGATTCTGATGCAACGCATTGGACTTCTCAGCCTTCATCAGACTGTGAACCAAACAGTCAATGACCCTGCAATGCAATCTACAGGAAAGGGCCCAGGAAATTGCAGAGCAGCTGGTATTGTCATGCCATATGATAAAGAAGCCAGAAATAGAAGAATGAGGCAAGGAGATGCTCGACTGAAAATTATCATGAGACGGGAGGAAAGGGAATTGTTACAGCAGAGAAATGAGAAATATTCATTCAGAGTTCCTGAAGGACACATGTTTGAAGGCAGAATGTCAGGGGAGTCACATTTCTACAAACAGTACCCGAGAACAGGGCAGTTTGATAGACCATATTCTCATACTCAGTCAAGTGTTCTGGAAGAAGGTCAGCTCAAAGATTTAAAGGCCAAAGAATGGAAGAGAATGATGGAGAAGGAAGAACAGCAACATTGGTTAGAGAGGGAGGAACAGAGAAGATGGTTGGAGAAGGAAGAACATGGAAAATGGATTGAGGAGAAAGAATTGAAGAGACAGATAGAGGAGAAAAAATTAAAGAGATGGATGGAGGAAGAGAGAGAAAGAGAATTGATGAGAACAGGTGTGAACCTCAGAACCACAAACAGTGTGGTGCAGGATCTGATAGCAGACTCACTCAGAGAAACGACCATATCACAGCTGTCTGTAGAGACGGCCCAGAAACTGAAGCAGTTGATAGCAGAAGCTGTCAGGAGTGTGGGAGTGATTGACCAAGATGAGAGGCAAAGTATTTTCAATACCAGCAGAGGGATTGGTGGAATCCACCCAAGAGCTGTCATGAGCTCTCAGCTTAGGAGGTCTGACAAGGAAATGCTAGAGGGTGACACTCATTATGTCAGGGAAGTTGATTATGTTCATAAACATATGGAAGTTGATAATGTGCATCAACATAAGCATAATGCATGTGGAAGTGCAGTAGGGAGGCATGAGGACAAGCAAATACCACACTCACGGCATTTTGAAAAGGTGTATTCTCCTTCTGCCATGGAAATTAGCAGTCTCTATCAGCGTAGGTATGAAGGTGAGTCATCTGGTGGAAGCAATAACAATCTGCCACACGGGGAAGGTGAGAACTCTTACACGAGGCACATTTATCATTCTGATGTTAATACCAGTCAGATGCAGGAAGAGAAATTCAGTCAGAAGCTAAATAATTATGTGAGTTATGAGCATTTGGCTGGCAGCTATGTGAGGAATGCCCACCAGGCATCACAGAATATAAGGCCATTATTTAATTCTGGCATGGAAAAGACGTCAGGCAGTAATGTGAGGCTTCATGCACCGAATTGGAACACAGTAAATGCTGAGACCAACTATATTCCACTTTCTGATGCAAGAAAAGAAATTGCATGCAGTATTCCAAAACCACCAGGCACTGATGATGCATATTTTCCAGGTAGAAGCAACTACGTTTACAGGGACTCTGTGCCAGGTACCAGTTTTCGCTGGCAGGAGGATTCCACACATACCTGGTATTAGAAACTAAAGATTCATCCCAGAACTACAGAGAGAGGATGTAGGTTGTTCAGGGACAGGACAGGGCACAATACAGTGGCTGCTTTATGTAATCTGTACACAGAAATCATGTCATTGATTATAAGCCAAAATATGGCAATGAAAATATATAATTAACAATATGAATGTTTCATTCTGAAGCTCATGTCTCTTTCTGTCAGTAGATTAAGAGTATTTTTGCTGCAAGGGGGATGAACTATCACCACTTTCTCACACACATATGTAATATATATACAATTCTAGCCATAATTACCTGCATCCATACCCATATGCTCATAATTTATGCAATATATAGGGAAATTTATCATATGTTAATACTGTATTTATCCACATCCTATGCAGAACTTTTTTCTAAAATGTCTGCATAAAAACCAGATGTGCATCATTCAACGATTCAGTTTTGATAACACCAAGTGGTACAAGGTGTAGACAATACAGCTGTTAAAAACTAATGAAATAAAGTGACTACAATTACTGTCTTTGAGAGAATGATGATGTTAGGAGCATCACAGCAAATAGGGAATTATATCATGGTCAGAAATTTTTAAAGTGAATTAAGTTTGCATTCAAGACTGGAAAAAACAAGATATCTTTTTTATCTTCTGTAAATTAATGGTTAGAGTTAGGTATTGCATAATGGCTTCCTAATGCATAATAAAACATTTTAGCATTCAAAGGTGCTAGTACCATAGGTTGGGATGCTGTTAAAGACAAAATCAATACATATGGTAGTGACTAGCATTAAAGCATACCAGTGATTGTGAGACAGCGTTGTATGTTTTTATAAAAATTTCCTTGCTATTGCAGTTTTATGAACCATCATGTTTGCTTGTGTAGGTTTCTAGAGTGTGAGTAGCCACATTTGTATGATGTGTTATTGTTTGTTTTACAAAAGTAATGTTTTTTTTTAATGTTATAAAAATTGCAGTGCACATCTTTGTTAAGGGTGCATGCAGTGTTTCTATAATGCAGTATACACTGTAACTGGGAACAAAACTTCACAATAAGCTTCAAAAGTTGATTTTGAACTTCAAATATTTTATGAACCGTAGAGTGTGGATCACATATTTAAATTTTGCTTATTACTTTTCGATCTGGCCTGTCAGGCATGCAGCTTGTAAAGCTCTGTCTTGCAGCCCATCTCTTTGTATTAACCTAAAAAATTACAGAATTTTCAAGACTAGTTGTAAGATCATATTTGTATTTGAAGATCTTGGGGCTTCTCTTCTTTGTTTATTTCAGAATTAAAATAATTTTAATTTTAAGTAATATAATTACCTCATTTTGAATTAGTTGTTACAAACAATTGCCATTAATTAGTTTGAACATTAAAGAAATAGCTTTCAGTAGTGTGTATTTAAAGTAGCTTACGATACAGCCTATTGGTATGCTGTGAGAGATTAATTAAAATCATCTGGAGGGACCTGCAGAAGCATGTTAGACATTTCACTTAGATTAGCATACTTCTAAGTGTTGTGTAGTATGTAAATTGGTTTATATTTCTTTTTATCTTATACCATGCAACATTTCTCATTAATTCATGTATAAAATGCACCTAATGTGCTTTCACAGTGTCCTGTGTTTACTTGTAATAGGTTTTATGCATTAAAAGTTGAGTTGCTATACCATACAGAGCAGTAACAGGTAAACATTTTTGATTTCATGGGCTCTGGTGACAGTGATGTATACCATACCCATTATTTTGTTTCTTTTGATGCAATTTGTCATTCTCTTCAAAACTACTATAATGGGGACAAATCTGTGCATTTGACATTCATCAGAAGTACTAGGAAAGTGATCAGAGGGGTAGAAGGTAAGGAAGTGTATGCTGTCCAAACTGTCTTAGTTCAGTTTGTTATTGTAAGATTTGGTTTTTGTAGTTGTGGTTTATACGGCAAATTCTGTTCTTGTTCTCCAGATTGATGAAAGACGAGACAATTTACATATAAGCGAAAAAGTAATAAACATTCCATAGTCGAGCAAGAGAAATAATTTCAAATATGAATTCATGAGGAAAATTATTGAGATTTGCTGACTTGTCTTGATGAAGATAACTTTCTCATCCTGAATCGATAATTAGAACAGATTGCAACTATAGCATGTGGTGTATAAACAAGGGAGATGCTGATATGAGGTGGTTGCGTGAAATATATCGTGTTCTCAAGAGATATGCTGAAATTTGAACTGCTAAAAATTGTTCCGCTTCTTGAACTACACCAGAAACAAGTTATTGATGAAATATGACACTTATTTTCCGCCAACATTTTTATTTTGCCACGACCCTTTTATCCTCCCCCCCGACATTTTTCACCCGAGAACATCCACAATATAAGTTCAAGATGCAGACATAACCTTTATGTGCCAAACATTAAACTCGGTAAGTATCGAATAGGAGTTTTACTATGTTAAAATTAAGTATGAGTAGGAGCTACACCTCCTGAAGATGGCTTTCTTCTGGGATGTTGTGCTATGCAGCCTGGTAGAAGTTTACTGACGTTTCAGAGGTCTTTGCTGCCAGCATCAGACTCACCGCTGTGAAAACCTCAAATCCTCATAGCTATGTTACCTTTCCTCCCCCCCCCCCCAAGTGCCTACATGGTATATAGTGGGACAGCTTTTATTTATTTTTTTACTTTTAATATACTATTGAAGCCAGTCTTGAGTCCAGTAACCTTTGTTGTCTACATGATGCAGCTTATACATGATCCACCAGATGGCCTTGCTTTATGCTAGCATACTTGCTAAACCTTTGTACCCAAGTCCAGTGAGCATCCCCATAATGGATTTAAAACCCAATTATTTCTGTATGATAAAGGTTAAATCCAACCCTCATTCCTAACATTATTTTCCTTTGGGTAGATGTTTTCTAAGATCTATTTTAATATTGTCTTACAGTCTACATCCTACACCCAACCCTTTTTCTTTATGCTTACCTTTTCATCATGGCATTATTATAGCAGAACTAAATAGTACATGTAGTCGAGCAACCATCTTCAAGTCCTTGAAACCACTGGTAGACATGCACTGCAGCACTTGTCCTGATGCATGTCATATTAGGTAGAAGAAGAATAGCTTATCTCCATGGAGCAGAGCTCTTCTTGAGAAACTAATAGTTACTCAGGTAATCAAGAATATTTTGTCCCTACATAACCCAAAGGTTCATTACTGTGTTACCAAAAAACCAGGCATTAGTTTCTGTTATGAGCTAAATTCAGTTATATTGTCACCCAGTTCTTTAAGATCTGTTTTAATATTACTTTCTTCTCTACTCTTAAGTCTCCCAAGTTGCTTCATCACTTCAGATTTACAGGCTGAAGTTTTGTACATATCTTGACTCTCATACACTCTACATGTTTCACCCATCTAATCTTTGTTTCCATTATACTAATGGAGTAGGATTTATTTACATCCCATAAATCCTGAACTCAGCCAAGAATGTAGAACAACACATAGTACAATACAGTACTTAACACCTAGCAATTACAGGTAACTTGGAATAATATCAAAGCAAATGTCAAAGAAGTATTCTTTTCTATAATTTTCAAGAGTAAGAAGTAGAATGAGACTTAAACTTTATTTACATTTCATAGACCCTTTGTAGCCATGGGTGTGAGATGCCATATATACTTCATATTAACAAAAAAATATTTAAATCTGTTGTTACAGTATTCTCTTATACATATGTCAAAATATCTTTATAAAAACTAATGATACTTCAGAATATTTAATTGAAGTACATTTTTAAAACTGTAGGAGTGAGATAACTTTCAAGTTCATTCCTGCATAGTATGCACCATTCTGATAACTAGCAAGGTTAGAATTTGGTGTATAGAGGTCATCTTTGTGGTTTGTATTTAAGCTGTGTATGAAACAATTCCATATTGTGTATGAAGTAAGTGAGTAATAGGAGTAAGAATTCACTAACAAGGTGAAGTATATTAAATTAAGTGATTTCTCAGGGCAAAGAATGCTGAACATATTTTGGGGGCAATATATCCGGTGTGCTTTTTACAATTCGTCATTACCAAATCACAAAAAAGAAAAGTTTATATTTCTTCAGTTGTTTTATTATCATAACCCATATTTCAATTAATGAATTTTAGTTGTTAATAGCAAATTGCATGAAGTTTGTTTTGCCAACATTTAATATAAGTTTAATGGCTTTAAATCATTTGTTCAACACAGTAAAGACAGCATTAATGTAATTTTGAAAGTATTTTATTTCAGAATGATTAATCATACTAATATTTTCAACAAACAATATAGGTTTACATTGAGAGCTGATAGTTGAGGATAGATTGTTGATAAATATGAACAGGAACTCCATGTTTTATATTACCCATTTGATTGTTATAGTTTGATTATGGAGATTTAATTTGTTCTATGTGTTTTCTGTCACAGGATGATTAAACTACAGTTAATATTCACGTTGAATTCTACAAGAATTTAGTTTTGACAATAATATATACAATCAAATGCTCTAGCAAGATAAAAAATAATTCAGGAACAGGCATTTTATTTTTAAGGGCACATAACATTTTATCTACAATTTTGTATTGTTTTCAGTTTCAGTTTGTTATAAATATTATTTTTGGGAGGATATTGATATGAATTTCAACAGATTAATTACTCCCTTATTCACAGCTTCCAAAATGCTGTGAATAATGAAATTAGCCTATTGCAGGAAACGTAAGATGTTTCGCCGCTTTAAAAAGAGAACCTTAAAGTGTTTTGATTAATTACAGTTATAATTTAAAGGACCACTAATGTAGTCAGAAAGTTATGAAACATTTTGTCCTTATTTCATGACGGTATGAATTTTTTTTATTTAAGATAGTTAATAATATTTCTGATTTCGTGTTTTAATTACAGTATTTATAATTGGAAAGGTTCTACAGATTATTTCAGGCTTGCAAATTATTCTTTCATTGTTGGTTTCTAATGAAAAATTGTATGTTTAATTTGCACATCTTTGCAATATTGCGTCTTGTCATACATCAAGTATTTGTTCAGGTATCTTTTGGATTTTAAGACTGTCAGCAATGGATCTCACTCATTCCGCCCACTCGTACTTGTCAGCTGTGTGGTACAAGTGTGGTTAAGTCTAACTATAACTTTTTATGGCGTAGGATGAATTTCATCGAAGAATTTTCCACAAAAGTGCCATAGGAATGCTATATTATTGGAATCGTGGTTTTATACAGTATGGAGTCTAAAAAAGACATCTATTATTTGTGGGTTCAGTATACAACCAAGGTAAACAAGTGGGCGTAACGAATATTAGACAAATGCGTTTGTATTATTTAGCACCATTTCTTGATTAAGTAGGAGAGAGAGAAAAACATAATATCTATGTTCCCGACATAATGTTCCCCCAGTTGAAGAATTCTTTACTAAGTTGTTTTACCATCTGTTTATGAGTAATGTCAGTATGGTAAGTAACTTTTCTGTGAATGGAAATTAAAATGTTTGCTTCCTGATGTTCTCCGTCCTTCCCGGTAATTATGCAAAAATTCATTTTATGTTTCTCCACCCAGTATTTAATTGGAACTTCCATGCTTGAACTGTTTCAGTCAGGGTTATTCATTGTTCACTAGTTTGTGTAACTTATTGAAACATCAGAATATTTTGGTGTTGCCTTTAATTTATTGCTTTAATATATGTTTTAGGTGACACACAAGTTTTTGTAATTTATTTTTTCTACATTAATAAGGTAGGTTGGTGTTGTTTAGACAGATGGTAATGCAGTTAGGTACTCTTTTCCAGCACGACAGTCATCTCGGAACCAAGCGTGGTAAAACGTCAGCCTGATATTTTGGTTTTCTGAGAAGAGTTTTGGAAATAAATTGGCATTTTGTGTAGTCAGTATTTATTGTTGTGTATCTGTGTTACTCATTGGATGAGGATAAACACTAGGCCTTGCTTTCACTTCTTTCTAATGTGCTTCTAGGTCTGTTTTCTGGTAACATTTATGGGCATTTTTATCCTTTACTTTTCACATTACACATTGGTTCTAATACAATGTTGTTTCATTCATATGTGTGATAGGCTTTGCATTGTTCTTACCCACAAGGATAGGTTGGTTTCTGCATCTACCATCTATTTGTAAATACACTAGGTAGATGGTTATTGAAACATAATTGGTGCTTAAATTATTTAGTGACATTGTATCAACTGCGGGGTTTGTGTAAATGGCATCAGATGAGATGGGAACTTGTTCAGTATATTTGCCTGAATCTCATTTTCATATTCTGGTAAGCTTGCTCTGTCCTTATTTGTTATTTCTGTTGGAAAACAATGACTGAATTAAATTAAATCCGTGGCGTAATAGCTCCAGAGAGCCAAAGCCGACTAGCTTGACTGCTGATCTCACGTTCACATGCCTAAGCAGAGGTGAACGATCATCCAACGAGATATAGGGTGACGTGTGGTCAGCACGACGAACCCCCAGCCATTGCTAGTTTTCCTGACCGGATTACGCTACTCATTGTAGCTCCCCAATTTCCTCACGATGCTGGGTTGTCACTGGTCCCATACACTGGTTGAAAGCGCATGAGAAAATTTCTTCTCCCCCGAGACTCGAACCAGCGTGCATTCCATATCGCCAGTCTGAAGCATGATGCCTCAGACCGCGCAGCTACGGCGCGGGACACAATGACTGAATACTTGTAAGAAATAGTTTGTGTTCAGTCCCTCTATTTTCCAATGGACTGTTTATAAACCCCTTTATGGTTCCTTATGTTGTTTGTAAAGCCCTAATTGTTCCCTACTGTATTCACAACTCTAGTAGGTGGTTATTTCTTTTAACCTAATATACAAACCCCAAGTTGGCCAGTACCTCATTTGTACCTCCCTTTAAGTGGACTGTTTTCTCATTCATAAGATCCTAGTGGTGCCATATCTGATTCAAACCATCTGACAGTACTTGTTTCACCACTACAAAATCCTTTCCATTTCTTTTTCCCCAGATCTCATTATCCTTGTGGTTGTTACTGTGTGATCTGACTCAGAATTCTCGTGTCCATCATTCTTTCTATATGTTGTTTCTGTGTGTTTTTCCCAGAATGAGGAGGATTTCTTCTGGCAGTTTGTGAAGGGGTTTGTCAAAATATGGGAATCTCAGCTGGACTTGGATTGGAGTAGATTGCCTGATTGGTTGACAGTGAAACATGATTCTGGGCCCCATCTGTCCAGACTACCAGAGGAGCTGCTGCCAGCTGTTGGAAAGTTCATGTTCCTTGCCAAGGAAGAGATGGAGAAGGTGGTAACTGCATCTTAATTGCTGAGCTAAAATGTAAAAGTCTGGGTGATACTTGCTTTGACCTCATTTTAAAATAACTGGAAGAGCTGCTGATATTCCTTTACATTAGCCCTACCATTTCCATTATAAATTCTTTGTATGAAATGCATGTTGGAATATTTCTTATGTATGAACATGTAAGGCATTTGACAAACACTTTTGCACAATAAAAAACAATCACACCAATTAAATACAACAATGAGACCAGCCATTAAGCTGATGACAGTGATTAATAAAACTGTTGTTTGTAGTAAATTTTTTCCTTCAAATTACCCATAGAATGTGCTTCCAACATGTAGCCATTATGTTTTGGGGCAAATTGTATATACAGACATTGTAAGTGGTTAGCACTCCTGCTTAATATTCAGGATATCCTGAGTATGAATGTCAGTTGGTGACTAACTACTCAGACTTTGGTTTTTGTGGTTTTCCTCAGTTATTCCAGGTAGGGATAATATCTTATAATAGTTTATGACTTATTCTGCCCTTTTCCTATTTTTTATTCACATTTGTGGTAGTCTCAGGGTAAGGTACTAGACTCCCATTCAGAGTGTTCTGGGTTTTGATTCCTTGTCAAACCTATGTGCAGGTCTTTCTGCTCACAGACTGAGCCTTCACCTTTACCACCGATCAAACTTTGGGAATATGAAATATTCCAGGTCCCCACCATGGTAAAGAGCCCACATTAAACTGCTCCGTGTCTCTGCTTACCATCACCTTTATAATCATCACTTGAGAAATTTGTTGTAGGCAAACTTATGTTTGGCAGAGGCCAGGATAAGTCAGAAGCCAACCAAATAACAAGGAAAGTGTTGTATTTTTGGTAAAAACTCATTATGAAGTGGGATCCAAGAATATGCTTGGAGGGACTGAGGAAATTCACCATTAATGCGAACTATTACATGGTAGTCATATATATATATATGCAAATGAGGGGAGGACAGATGTGGAAATAATGCCATATGTGCAAGTGATGCAACTTGTTGCTAGTGAAAGTATTACTCAATTTTTGTTTAGGAAAAAATTTCCAAAGAAGTGTAGATTGAAATAGCAGTATAATTCACCACAATAACACAACTTCACCATGGAATTTTTATACTTGTTTTTATTCACTATTTGCAGAATTCTGTCAGTTACAAGTCACTAAAGAAGATGGAGTTGCTAGTACAGTGTCTGATTATTATCTGTCGCAACTTTGACAACATTCCATTTATTGCTTCCTGTGATTATGTTAGCCATACTGTAGGCATTGCTGCCACAATTATCCACCAGGTATGTCTGTTTCCATATCAAATGTCTTATTATATTACATTCTACACAAAAATAATGTGATCTTTTAAAGGGTCTTACAATATGAAGTTTGGTTATCATGTGAATTGTTGATCATAGGTAATTTAAATTTATGGATGTAGGAGGGGAGGGATTGAATTTTGCACTATTTATGCCAAGTTTTGCAGTAAATATTTATTGTGAGACAGACTGATACACACAAAATGATATTATATACCCCTTTTTCCCAGTTGTTATATGGTAAGTAGCCTAAAGGAAGGGGACCAGGTGAATGTTTGAGATAAAAGTTGCTCGGTCTCACACAGTGCATGTAATTATTCTGATTGGTTGAAACTTAAGAACCTTCATGACACCAGATATTTCAGAAAAATGTGAGACATAACTGCCATTTTGTGGCCTAAGAAAGAGTCATGAGAAATCTCAATTTCTCACCTTTGCTTCAGGCTGTGGTCTGCCATTCTTCCATTGGCTTCCTTACTCTCAATTCATCCTCACTCTTTTTCCCATTGGTTTGGCAAAGGTTCTACCTTCTCTGACTGAGTCCTGTATCTCAGACCAGTTCCTCGTATGTGGCTTACTCATCATGTTGATATTGGAGGCAGCAGCAGTTCTGAAATGTCAGACTTCACAGCGCAACATTCCAGAAGAGGGCTATAGTCAGGCTGATGGATCATTGCATCTGTTGCATTGAGAAACATGACATTTGCTTAGAAAAATAAGATATGTGTATCTGCTGTGTTGTCAAAACTTATGAAAAAATTGTCTTTAAATTTTGAGTTACATTTGTATGTAGCATTGTGTTTGAGCACTTTGTTACAGTTCCCTGTAGTCAGTGTTATGCGTCCTTGTGTTTCAGTTGGTGAAAGATATTGCTGGCTTTGGTGATGCTGGTCTGTCTTTCTTCATTTACTTCTGTCACTTGCTGGAGTGCCTGTATGATCCATATTTTACTTGGAGGCACTTTCTAGCAGGGAATCCTGCAGACTTTGAGAGATTGCCATTACAACCTGCCCTCTTGCATGTGGAGGTCATTCCCTTCATATATGGTTAGTATAATTTGAGGGCATTGAGTGGGAGTTGTCACTTTGTGAACATAATCATATTTAGACCACATTATCTGTTGTAATTATAAGAACCTCACTTCAGTACTGAGATTCCATGGCAAAATTTCATTCTACCATGGCTGTAACAAGGCTACTAATTAAATTTGAGGTTTTTATGGCAGTGAAATTGTGGTGTTCGTCTTCTGGGAAGATGATAGTCATTCAGCTCCCTACCTTTTATGGAACCTGAATGTTGATTACTGTGTTCACAGGAACCTGCCACTGATCCTGTCCTGAACTTTTTGAATTTAGTCCATACCACCACAGCTAGTTTCCTTGAGATACATCATAATATTATTTTCACAACTGTGTCAAGGTCTTCCTTCAATATTTTCAACTAAAATTTTATATGAATTTCACATGTCTCCCATGTTTGCTACATACCTTGCCCACCATTTATTTGTATAAGTATTATTATCACTGCTGCTCCTGCTGCTGAGAGTTCTGTGTTCTTGAGATGGAGGACTGTATCCACAGAAGGGCAGTATGTTACTTTATCATTTGGTTCTGTTTTTCTCCACCAGATTGCTTCCAAACATCACTTATTGAACGGTTTCCTGAGCTGAGCACGGAACTTATTCACATACTGGGAGCTGTAATTTCAGGAGCACAGGTGAGTGAGCCTAATGATCGCCTGTTTTGTCTTGTTCATATTGTATGAATTGTTTGCGTCTGTCTGCAAATGTCAGGTTGTGTACCTTCATTCCAGTTTATCTGACAGAAACTTATGATGTGTTTGGTTTGTTTTCCTTTGTTTTCATGTTCAGAAAGGTTGCTGGGTCAGGTTAGTAGTTGACAGCTGTTTCATTATTCATGTCATTACTCAAGAAAAGTATACTTGTATTTTATAAACAAGAATTTGTTACTTTGATAGTTTCTAAGATGTGAATATTGGCTTTTGAATTTCGCAGGCTTGTCACTTAATAAAGAAAAAGAACTTGCTATTTAGTCTTGTCCCAAGTCATTTATATTTTGGTTTTCTAAGTGAACTGCCAATATTGTATGTGCATGTTAGTTCATAATGTGCTACATGCTCAGTCAATCTAAACTTCATAGGCTTAATTACATATTCCATGCTAGTGAATGGAATCATTTAATAATTTGCTGTTATGATTCTTCATGTCAGCATATTTAATGTGTCTTTTGTTGGGTTAAGGAAGTTAGCTTAGTGTTAATGTATCTGCATAGTGTTTCACACAGGGTATGGTGGAAGACATGTGTGAATCATAATTAAGATTTTTCATGCTCCATTAGACAAATAAGTAGCTGATTAAATGTATTTAAATCAAATCTCATATATTCTTTAAAAAGGGAAAATTAATGATATGTGTTAGTGAAGACTTTGAACTAGTTATTAAAGATCTGGCCACATGATTTTATAATCTCCTGTTGCATTAAGTCTTTGAAATGTGCCGCAGTATCACAGGAAACTTTTTAATCTGACCAGTAGCCAAGTGTGCAAACATAAGGGACATGCTGCATGCAGAAACAGATCAGTTACATGATCAGTAGCTGAGTGCAGCGACAGTGAGAGTGTTACTTTTTTACTGAGCTATACCACTTACGAAATGTCATGAGTGCTGAATAGAAATGCGTATAAACTTATTTTATTTTTTTAATGTTTGTGTAACAATATTTTCTGTGGGTTAGGTTATATATTATGGAGCAGTAGTAAATAATTAATTTAAAAAAGTGGAAGGAGGTGATCATGGCCATGGTTTAACATATTGTCCTGTAATTTGCTTGGAGGGCCTGAAGAAAACCATAATATCTCGGTTAGGTCGGGACGTATCAGTGTTTCATGTACAGATGTTTTTGTAAATTCACAGGATGAACTGGAATGAATGTAATGCTTGAAGATGTCTGTCTTCTGGCATGTTGCACTGTGTAGTGTGGAGATACTGATTACTGCTTCAGAGGAACTTGCTGCCTTCATTATCAGGGTGGTGATGGAGACAATAAGTTTCACTGGAATGTCAATCAGTATCTGCCAGACAACATGATACAACATCCCAGAAAGAAGACAGACCTCATACTTGTTGCCATAAGAACTGCAGATCTCACCATAATATTATGCCTGTCTCACAGAATTGAGTGTATCAAATATTTATTTATGTTCAACTAATTCATATTTCTTGCTACTGATTCTACATCGGTGTGCATTGTATTCCATTGTGCCTTGTACCTTGTGATACAGGGTCTTCTTGATTAGATGATAGCTAGTTATTCGGTAAATAATTCCCCGCTTTTATGGAACATGAAAATTCATCAGTGTGTTAAAAAATCCTGTCACTGGACCATATTTGAAGTCAGTCTTCTCAACCTCCTCTCTGTGTGTGTTATACATAATATTTTCTAGTCACTAGAAGAGAGAAAATGTTGCT